CCCCCACTGCCCCTTGCAGTCAACCTTGCCCAAGAGATACCTCCTTCAGTATAGCTCCATTCTGAGTTGGATGCTGACCTCAAGCGTCTACTGGGCTCTCTCTGGGAGGAGCTGGAGTAGTACCTTAAACCCTAATGTGCCCAAACAGGGGGTAAAGGGGAAATTTCTTAGTTTCAAGTATTTTGCTTCAACTGGGAGAAGACAGGGGAGTAGAAAACATGATTTTGAACACCCAAACACAGCTTAGATAAAAGTCTAGTGATGTTTTTGCAGCAAGAACCAAGGATTACTGGCAAACAGGCACTTCTGCCATTTACTGTGTTTAGCATACCTGGGGAATCCCAGGAAGCACATATATATCGGCACCAAAACACTGGGGCTGAGAGGATCAGAAGGTGACTTCTGGCCTTTTCAGCTGTCCCACCCCCATAGCAAATCTGTGCTCCTGCCATTTCCTACGGATGATTGTCACCAAGCTTTATGTCCTGGGAGCTTGTCTATCTGGTTGCATTGCAATATTTTCATCTTTTGATACAAGGTTTGGGATACATTTTGCAGTTTGTTCCTTACTGGGGAAAAAAAAAATAAAAAAACCCACCAAACACCCAACAACGAAGAAACTGAAACTTCTCCAGTGTGACCAGGTGTGGAGCAGTGCAGAGGGGCAGTCACAGGATCCCAGGACAGCGCAGGTGGGAAGGGCTCTCAGTCATGTCTCGGGTCCAAGCCCCCACCCCAAGCAGGGCTATCTCTGGGACCAGACCTGGCTGCTCAGGGCTTTCTCCACACATTTCCTAAATCCCCCCAAGGACAGAGCCTGCACAAGCTCTGTGGGCAACCAGTTCTCCTGTCAGGCGCAGCGAGGCGTATTCCCCCGAGGCTGTGTGCAGTCAGCATCACCTATAACATCAGTGCCTGGGAGGGGGAACCATGGCTTCATTCTGAAGGTCACATGGAAAATACTTAGTGGGTTACAATTATTCCCTGACTTACCACCATCCCTCCCCCTCTTATTAAATTTATTGGAAACACTGAATTGAAGGGAGAAAGCAAACTCGGTACCACAGCATTAGTGTACTCCCAGCTGTACGTAATGGACAAAACAGTCCCCGCTGCCCAGGTGTGACTTTTCTGACCACTTCGTCACTCTGTCACAAGAAAGGACTCCTTCCCACAGCTAATTACTTCTCTACATTAACGAAAAGGCAACATCGGTCAGACTAATGGCTAAACAGCCTTCTGCAAGCCTTTCACTGGTACCACAGGCTTGCTGCAATGACCTTGTGTGTACTCCTCCACCTGCCTTCATTTGTCAGGTTTAATATGGGAACAATTTACCCAGGCCCTAAGGCTGCTATAAGATTTCATTATCGCAAAAAACTACTCAAGCTCGTGCCCACACAGGACACAGAGGTACTCTGTATTATTAGCAGGATGTGGCCGAAGGAAAAGAGAAACAGAGGAAGCAATTTTTCAAAGGATTTTTTTTCCCCCAGGATAAGGCAGAGCCACAGCAAGCTTCCAAAAATGCTGGACTGTGTTCATTCAGTAATACTGACACAGTGACAGTCCTCAATCAACGTGCACGACAGCTCTTGTAACTGAAAGGATTAAAAAAGAAAAGTCTACTGTTCACAAGTACCTCAAGAACTGTTGATAATAAAATTAAAAAGGAAAGGAAAGCAAGTTGGAGAGAAGCTGAAGACACAGGGAGGGGGAACACAAGCTGTGGGGAGAAGCAGTGCTGTTTGCTGTCTCCACAATTATCTGGCTACATTCAAAATAGCCACATGCAGGGAGCAGGGTCACATTCTTGACATGTTATTTGCAGAGGCAACAGCCTCAGAAACAAAGCATTTCCTGTGTTGTCCTGAAGCTGGTGTAAGCAAAGCAGGTCTGCTAGAGAAGACAACACAGCACAACTGACTGGTAAGAGTAGAGTGAAGAAAAGCACTTCCCAAACCTCAGTGTTGTGGGGTGCCCATGCTCTCCCTGTAAAAGTCTGCAGTAGTCATTTTCTACTGCAGGCAAGCCCAAGGGGCTGCGCAAGGTTCTCACAGCACTGGCAATAGCACCTTGTTTTCTACTAAACCAGTTCCCTCATGCCCACCTTAGGGACAGCCTGCCAGGATCCACGTGTGTAACCAAACTGCCTGTACCCGAGTAGTCCTAGTTTCCCTAAATAAAAGTGGTGGGAGCCAGGGTCTCACCCATGGGGCAGGGAAGATCCTGCCTGGGCTGCACAAAACATCAACCCACAGCGTGCTCCTTACATTTGGAGTACAATTCATCACCCCAAAGGGAGGGGGTTTGGTCAAACCACTGCTCACGGCAAGACTGGAGAGCTCTTCCAAGCTGACTGGAATTCTTCGGGAATTTGCTGCTTTCTTCCTCTCTCTTTTCAAAATAGGCACTTAAGATTCCTTGCGACCAGCACGTGACAGGCGCGACTGGTTATGGATGTAACAAGGAAAATAGCAACTCTCACTTCTGCAAAATATGAGCTGAGCCTTATCCAAGGGCTCTTTCCTAAGCTACAGTGACAGGTAGGTGAGAATATGAGAAGTGCTCCGTAGCAATACACTTTCCACCTATCACACCTTCAGTGGAAGGCTCGGTATGTGATAAATGAGCTATGTAACATGAATTTTTAATGCCAGGCATGATGTTGTTGCAGTAGGACAGGCTCTTTAAGCAGCTTCATGTGCAATCTGAAAGCTGAAGTCAGCCGCTGAAAATGTTGCAGTAGCCAGCAAAAACTAAACTGTGGGGGAGATCAACACCTGAACCCATCTAAAGAAAGGCTGTGGCATTTAAAATAGAAGTTCCTACTTCTTCGCATTTGTTCTCTGCTGAGCACACAAGCAAGCTTTAGCACGCTCTGCACTCATGTTTCAGTAGAGGTTGATGCAGTTTCACAGATTTGGGGAACAGTGTTGCCAGTTACAGATTTGAACATGACATTTTAAAGTTAGCGATCCCACTAAAAGGAAGCTTCATTTTGTGCCAAGGTGCACGTCAAATAGTTCCTGTCTGTCTCATTTTCTGTCCTCCAACAGGCAAAGCTCCAGGCTTGGACCTTCCATTGAGGGTAAAAAATTTAAAAAATAAAAATACACATTATTAAAGCCAGGAGAGTGATCCCAACAGCTTCATCTACTTGCAGGACTCACCTCCTTGCTTGCCTCTACTGAGAGGGGCAGCTGTCTTGGAGCACACGCATACACACACCACTCTCTCGTATTTTTTTTCCGGTATTTTATTTCTGACAGGCATTTACAACGTTCCAGTCATAGAACTAAAAACATAAAAATAGACCTTCTTTCAGCTTATAAAAGAAATATATAAGAACCTTTGACATAGACATGTCATGACATTATGTACAAGAGCAACGGTACCTTCCCAGTACCAGCCTTCCAGTATTTCAGCGCTGACTGCGTTCCGCTGGGTACAGCATCGGACAGCTACAACCTCTGCTTCTCTAATACGCTGGGACACCACTGATAGGTAGATGATATAAAACAATGATGTGATAATACAAAGGGTATAGAAACCGTTCTAAAGCTTTTACGAAAAGAAATCAGAAGATAGCAAAAAGGTAATAGAGAAAGCTTTCGTAAGCTCAAGTATAGTGCACCAGAAACCAGAAAGGAGAGGGGGGCGAGGGGAGGATGCCAGCTGGGACACAAAGACAGTGATGGATTTTTGGGGGGAATAATTTTCGTTATGTTTTAAAATATAGTCAGAGTGGATTTTATAAAATATAATCCTAAAGCTATTATAAAATTTCAGGTCTTCAAAGTACCTACCAATGTGTCAAACATCAATAGATACCAACAAAAAAGAGAAAATTTCATATAATCTTCCTTTTTTTCCTATAGGTGGAACTGAAATGGGAAAAGCTATATAAATCTTAAAAAAAAGTGCTATTTTGTGTTTTGTATTTGGAAGTCTACTTAAAAAACACAAGATTTTAGTCACATTTTACCCTGTTTTAGATGTTTAAATAAAAGACTTAAAATGTTAGAGGTTTCCTTGTGTAGAACTTGTTCACACTCTATTGCAGTGGAAAAGCTTTTATAAAGGAATTAAAATACACTAGTTTCACCCACAGTAGGAGAGTGGATGAGGTCAGTTTTTTGGCCATGATTTCCCTGTCCCCTAAGCCCAAACTCTGCCAGAGAGAGTGGACCAAACAGGTCTGTGATGCTGCTACGCTGGCTCCAGCGAGGTTACACCATGGATCGGTTTGGTCCACTAAAATTCAGTCACGTCATTTTATTTTCTTCTTTTTATTATCTAACTAAACTCCAGTCTCAAACATATACAATAATCCTTTTCCTGAAGAAAGTTATACCTAAATAAGAGTTTCCAGTTCATACTTTAATATAAAACCACCATTCCTAACCCTCTGCAAAAAGCTAGCCTCGTATCCTAGACGTGGAGCTACGCTAACGCTGTAAAACTCTTGTCCCTTTGTGCCCCTGCATCTCAGGTAAAATACAAAAAAATATTTCTTCAAGTGTTAAATTTGGATCTCTTTTAAGAGAGTTTGGCATCTTTATAGTATTATGTAAAACCAGAGCTTCCAACATGGACATTAAATTAGACCAGCCACAGACCAAGAGGACTTCACACAACATAAATCCCAAACCTTTCCTCACACATTCCTAAAAGACATGTATATTCTCTTACATTTAAAGAGGGAAAAGTAATAAGAATACTGCAACTGTACACGTTTAAAAGGCAGTTTCCTCGTTAAGGAGATGAGCCTACGACTGACGTTTTACAGCTATAAACCCCTCTGTTCCTTGTGCTATTGTTTAAGCTAGTTCGCTGCACGTAGGTTAAGACATCCAGAGTAATTTGTTTTCCAGTGATGATAATCTCCCCATACCTAATTTCAGCCCCTGATTATTTTAGAATAAATAAAATAGTGTGAAAGCCCTTGGTAACATAAGACAGGACCTTAAGCTTCTTCCGTTCCAGGTTTTGAGCGTTTTACAGTTGCCTAAAGTGTGGCCGCATGGCTTCGGACCAATTGAGCTGCCGAAATGGTGTGTGCAAGTGTGCAATCTATCGGGGTCGGCTCCCCGCGGTGCGCGGGGGCAGGAGGGAGGGATGGAGGGCGGGATGGGGAGACCTACGCATCCAGGCGGGGAAGAGGGACCAGTTTAGAGCTCCGTGTTGAGTTTCCTGCTGGGGACAAAGTCTTCGCGCCTAACCCAGATGACCTCCTCGCCGTGGCCCTCCACGTCACCGTTGATGCCGGAGAAGGCCGCCTGCTTTTTCAGCTGGGTCATCCTGGAGGCGTGCGTGTCCATGGGCGGGCGCGGGCGCTCTGTTCTCTTGTGTTTGTTGCGCTTCCCTCCAGCCGCTCCCGAAGGTCTCGGTCGGCCACAGCGCCCCTCATGGCCTCGCAGTACTCATCGTCATCGCTGAGGATGTCTGTTTCCTTGATGTCCTCCTGCTCCTCGTACTGAGCAAGGTCAAACTGTTCCTCTACCCAGCGGTCAGTGTCCCCACTGTGCGTGGGCTGCTGGGCCTCTTTTTCGGGGCTGCTCGTGTAGACGGCGTCTGAGTCAATGGTAAACCTGTTTCGGGCCAGCCGCCGCCTTCTCCTCCCAAGAGACTTGCTTGGGGCTGACACTGCGCACACACAAAGATAAAACCCCACAGGCTTTTTACACATGGTTACAACTCTCTTTAAAAAGTTAACGTCTTCCAGGGGCCCTTTATTTAACACCAAAGCAGGCAGACTCCCACCAAGGACCTAGCCATTCAGCATCCTCCACTCAGCTCCTCAGCACAGGTCTCTCTCCAGCTGAAAAAGGAGTTTCTGCTACTCAGATCCACAGTTGGGATAATGGCCCACAATTACTGTTCCTCCTAAGCGGCAGGCAAGCAGCCAGCACGCACAAAGTGCATCTGCTCAGCGCAGCTTCTCACACACAGTGCCCCTGCTGCTAGCACACCACAAAAACCAACTAGCCTTACACCTTGGGAAATTGCTTTCTCTCAGGTAGGAGCAACGCTATAGGTTTCCAAGTGGCTACCTCGGTGCTGAAGATGCTGCAATTGTTGCATTATTTTGGGGGAAGTAAGTTCCCTGGCCTAGGCTCTGCTACTCCCTTCCCCGCTCCCTCCTTGCTGGGGAGGAAAAAAAAAAAAAGCAAGCCCCCAAAAGCAGAAAAACTTTCAGAAGTTCCTTACTCAGCATCAAGCTGGTCTACTAGCTTTTGCAACTGGCCCAATTAGCAAATTCACATCTTCTGTGTTGGCACATCTTCAGAAGAGGCTTGTGAGGCAAAGCAGGGGACGCATCCTGCAGCTGAAGGACCTGCAGGCATTCCAGCGCTTTGCGTGCACACACACACGTAGCTCCATGGCAAGCAGGTGAGCTCCAAGGTTATAGTTTGTCCCCCTCTACTAAACAGCACCTTAGCGCTTTTAGGATGTATTTATTAAACTCTAGCTTGGGGGTGGGGTTACATTTTAATATCCCTGAGCCTTAAAACATGCATTAAGTACAACAGCTCAGCAGTTGTAAATTTTAACTGTAGTGAGAGGTCTGGAGAGGAGATTTTAATCTGCAGAATTCATCATGTAAATGCACTGATGAGCCAAACTGAATTTGGCACCTATAGCAGATGAGCCCCACAGACTGACTGAAGCAGCACTGTGGTAAAACAGTTGCATTTTGGCCCTCCTTTGATGACTCTTCCCTGTGATTTTAGGTGTCCCTGAGGCAGATGGCTAGCAACACCCCGAGTGAGAAGGCATGCCGCGGATGTTATTGGTCTGGCCTGCCCATTACAGAAGAGGAACAGAAAGCCTGGTTGTCTACATTGCTGGATCTAATGAGCAGGAAAAAATACAGATAACAGACCAGAACAAAACACGCAGCGGTGCCATGTACTTTTCAGTTGGAAGCAAATGTTTCTTCCCTCCGTCATCTAGTGTTCTGAAAATGAAAACCTGCTTTTTCCCTGGGATTTTCTCATTGCTTTTGCCTGAAGTCAACTGAAAAGGAAAATCCATGGTTTAGGACAGGCCACTACAAAAATAATGACGTCTCGAGTGCATGCCTCTCAAAGTGTGAGAAGTAGAAGCACGCACGCTTTAGCAACAGAGCTGTAAAGGCTAAAATAGAGGACATACAAAGCTATCTCTTCAATCCCACCCACTCACTCGAGGGAGCTGAGTTTTCTTGTGCATTTTAGTTTCAAAGTGCTAGGGTTAGTTCTAAATTCTGTACATGCTTTTAAGAAATATGAAGCAGGCTTCTGCTTTGTTCAGCTGAAACCCATTTCCAGATTAAAGTGCACAGCCAATCAGTATTGACAGGAAATCCCATCTCTCCTTCCACGCCAGGACCACTCTGAAGCTGAGCCTTGAGTGCAAAAAGCAGGGTAAATAGAGGCCATGTGAGGCTCTCAAGGAGGTGAAGCATGGAAAACCAGCAGTTTTTACATACACAGGAGAGAATGCTAATCCTAATATACAAGTAACAGACACCACCACATGTCCTACAACGGTGCTGGGGTTACTGGGATCTTGAAAGTCTGTAGCCCTACAGTACCTGCCCTGTTCATGGCTGGCCTTGCACCTTTTAGAGCACACAATCTTTTTCCACCAAAAGGAACATATTGCTGGGATGAGGGCAAACTTTCAGTTTTAAGAAGCTGTCTTCTGTGTTTATCCCGCAGGATCGAGTGCACTGCCTTCAGAAAGTCCTTCCTGTGTTCTGGTGAACTGAAAAACAGGCAAGAATACAAAAGGCAGCGTTACCTCTTGGGAACTGCTAAAAACTCACTGCAAATGAGATAAATAAGGACCAGTTCTGTAATTTAAGACAGTGCAAATGAACTGGCACTCGCTTCCTCCAGAGAAGACTCAATTTAATACACTAAATACAAAGCAAAGCTAAGTCTATAGTCATTACAGTGGACATCCAAGGAAACAAATATCCTGTTCATTAACAAAACATTTAGCCATTCACCCCTCTTGAGGCTGCCTTTTCCTCCAATACCAACCACACACTTGGCTTTGTCTGATAAACATTGAGTTGACCTACAATGGCCAATTCAATCTCAGTTTGTCTTCTGTGAACACACACCAAGCACAACTCCTGCAACTCTCTACTTCCCAGTAGTAGGAACTGGCTTGGTACCAGCTCTGTTGGACCCTGGTGAACTTGTGTACCAAGTTCTTATTTGAACTCTAAAACACATCAGGGCAAACACCACAACAAGGATGGACAAGGTTTCCTTTAGGAAAGGGCAATGCCCTAAGAGCAGAGGTTGAAACTTGGTGGTATGAAAGGTACCAGCTGAACACAACACATTAGCAGCTACCTGGCATAAAAATGTAGTGCTGAAGTTTAACTGGATGTAAATTTATGAAAGGAAAATTGTAATAACGATATTCCCAAAAAGGTGCAAGGCTGATCAAATATATGCCTTTATTTTAATACATTTTACAAAATTCTGCCTGCAGAAGTAAGGCTTTAACACCCTCTCCCTCACTTCACCTATTGGCTGTTCCCAGACTGCATTAATGGAAAGACAATGACAAGCTGGGACCCAGAGATGCACCTGCCACTGAAAATATAGAAACGCACTTACCTACAGCAAAGGTGAAACGTTCTTTCTGGCCTGCCTTCAGACTCAGATTTAACATGGACAATCTCACATACAGAATTGGTCTCTGCATCTAAAGTGAAAAGCAAGCAGAACTTCACGTAACAGTTTCTCATATGTAACCTCAGTTAGAGTATTTGTTTCATAATCCTGAAGAAATGGTTTAAGATCATCCAGGACAACAGATAATACACAGCAAATAATATTAACTTGTAGCTTTTCAAAATCTTGAAGTACTTGTCAAAATCTAGAAGTACTTTATATACACTCACTCAGCCCCATAAAAATGTATTAAAAAAACCAAACCAAACCAAACCAAACCAGCTTTTCAGGTATTCCATAGAGTATTTTGACATTTTACAGCTCCCTCCTATGTTCTTTCCACTTTCACTTATGCATTAGAAAGGGAGCAAATTGTTTAAAATTGTGACATTTTTAATGCTGTATGATTCACGTGAAGCCATCAACCACAAGAATGAAGATTCGCTAGCTCTGTTGTCTCCAAGCTGCAAGATTGCCTTCTGTTCTCCAGAAGAGGAGCAGAGTGAGCCACGGTCAGCCACAGCTTTGCCCTGTTTTACCAGACTGCTGCCTGGCTTCAGAAAAGTACTGACAAGCTGGAGATACACAACTGGAGCTTCTGCCCCTTCACCTCTCTCCAGGGCTATTATGGATGTTGAGGTTATGGGTTCCTTTTTCAGGCCCCAGAAACTGCATACACATGCACTAAGGACAAGCCCATAGCTCAAACATTAAGAACCCTGCCAAATTCATGCAGTGGGAACATTACCTGCACTTGCCAACGCTCGAACCTGCAGTGCTTCTAAAGGTATCATGTGGCGAAAGCGGAACGGATCCCAGTCTTCATAAATTGAAGCTCTATGTGATCCTCCCTGGGAGAATTTCAAAATGCTGTTAGGAAATGGGACACCTTGGGATGCTCAGACACAAGTCTCCTGTGCTTTGTGTTGAGAACGGCCAGCTAGAGACTTGCTGCAATTCTTATTGTCTCACTACAACATCTGAGTAACCAGCGTCACTGAAGTGCCTATCTATGAATATCTTGCTAAAATCTAGACAAAAGCAACTACTAGGCCAATCAACTCTTATCAGTGCCTTCAAAAGTCATTCGAGACCAATGCTGCATTCTCTCCTCTCAAGTGCACATACACTCATGAACATGCATTAGTTCTGCTTTAGTCTCTCTGAAGTTATCTTGTGGCCAGTTGACTTTAGCAAACGTCCATACACGCACCTCAAATGACACTTTGGCAACACAAACGACCAGTCCAGCAGAGAGCAAAGGTTAAACTAAATGAAAGCTTGCAGAGAGCAGCACCCAGGCTGACCAGCAGGCCACTGGGCATTACCCAAAACCTCAGTTGTGTGGCAGTGAACAAGGATCCCACATGCAAAAGCACACTCTAGCACCACAGCCTTATGGAAAGCAATCGATTTTAGTACCACAAATGCACACAGCACCACCAAAATAGCCCATACAACTTACAAGTTTCTTCTTCTGTTTGGAACCATCCTTGTATACAAGAACCACAGCAGTTTTGAACACTAGAGGAGAAAGTGAGAAACAAAAGCCATGTAGTCAGTAAGGGTGGGGGCGCGTTCCTATGCCCCAGCACACAGACCTTTCAGCTCCTCAGACAGCCCTCACCTGAGTCAGGAAGGGAAGGCAGGAGTAAAGTTACCAGCTCTCTTGCATATTCTTCCAAATAAAAAACCAAGCTCCACAGCGTTTTACTACTCAAAACTAAGTCACTTCAAAGTCAATTGAAACTTCAGAGTTTAAGTCACCAGTTAGCAGAACAACTATTCAAACAGCCACAGTTCTGCATAAAAGTTCAGAAAACTTTAATTCCCCAGCTAAGTTCACCTCAGACAAACGAGCAGCATCCAGCTACACACGGTCAATCAGCAGATGAGACTGCACTTCAACTGAATTTGAGCCCTCCCATGTGGGACACTGGTCTGTGCCGAATTAAAAAGTGCACACCACTGGCAGGCAGAGGTGTAATCCAGTTCCTCTTTTGCCAAATAATAGCCACATGGAGCTGGAATCTGTCTTTCAAGACTTCAGTTTTCCTTGTGATCTCTTTCTTCAGGACTCAACCTAAACCTTTGACTCCTCAAACCTTTGTTTTAGGACTGAGCTGCATGGACACTTAATTTTGGACATTTTATGAAACCAATTTAAAGATTTTTGGAGTAATGAAGAGTTGCTGCCCATTCCTAGCAGCTTTCATGTGGCCCCTCGGCTTCAAGAGTATGACCGGGTGCTTTCCCAACTTACAGGAAAGCTGTCAATTTTTATGTGTTCTTCCAGAGCAAATCTCAAAGAGTCTTCATTTGTTATATGTTCAGTATAAAACAAAACAAAACAAAATAAAAAAAAACAAAAAAATAGGCTTCCTAACTAGCATCATTTTTTTGGAAACAACAAGGAAAACGCCTTTTGCATGTAAAGAAATTTTGGAACAAATAAAGAAAACCTCCACACACTACTTGAAGTGATTCTGAAAATGAGAGAGACATTGTTAAGCCAGTATAAGCAATCATATACCTTTCCAAGGGACCACACTCCAATGCAGTGGAAAGACCTAGAGATCTATGCCAACATCAGTTTCAATTTCTAGTCTGGCCACCCAAGATAGACTACTCAGAGGGAGACAGACCACTCCAAAGCAACTCACTGGGAGTCCTGGCTTAGCTTTTAAACACTTTTTAAAGCTTATATATCTAAGTCCTTTCTGGCAAAAGGCATGGAGAAATAAAGCAAAGCCTCAAGCCCCCAACCCCATCCTACAAGATGTGAAGTAGAGTTACTTGGCATCAATCAGACTACCAAACTATATCTTTTTGGAGACAAATACCATTCTATATAGCTCTGAACTCATAGTCTTGGATACGGGTTTAAGAAACTCTTGCACCATTAAAGCAGTCACCTCCAAATTCTTCACGAGATTTAGATCAACTCGTAACAGAATTTTATCAATGCAGCAAAAAGACAAAAATGGTATTAGGTTCCTAAAATCCTGCAGAAGGCAATGCTCAGCTACCTTCATCAAGTATCTGCTAAGGCACAGCCGACAGTCTTTTAGGCATCCAAAATAAAATGACTAGGATACAAACCAAATGCTGCCAGCTCGGGCTCCTTCTTCCATTTCCCCAGTGAAGCCGGAGGATTCAGCCATATCACTGTATTATGTAAGAGCAAGTCCCCCATCGAAAGGTCTGCAACCTGCCAACCAAACACGTGCACACAGACACCATATGTAAACAGCTCAAGAAAGCTTACTTGAATTTCAGTTCAAGAAAACTTGCTTGAACTTTGTTCTTAAACAAATACCCCACAAGCAAACTTTTGGATTATTTAATCAAACAACTGCAAGTGTGTGCAAACAGATTATGATAGTTAGCAATAGATGCATGTAAATCCTTAACTGGTGAGCATAAATTAGGAGAAATCAAACTCAGAGTCCAGCTCTCATAATTTGGTGGGAAGTGATGGCAAAACCCAGATGATTTCCTTGTATTTTTTCTCCTTTGTCCATCTTTCTCCCAGCAGATTCATTCTGCTTTGTTCAAACAATTAAGCCAAGCCCCCATCACACATACAGAGTTTGGGGTGAAGTACAGGAACAGTACCACGTCAAAGCACTCCCTCCCCACACTTGCTATGGCTCTTGATTTCACCCAAAGGCTCCTCTGCAGAAACCACATTGCTGGAAATGGACTAATAAAAGAGTCCATAAAAACTGGTGGGAGATGCCTACTAATATTGCAGCAACTCAGTCCTTTACTTTGACTTACAGGCTCCTAGAGTGACAAACTGAGGGCTATCCTCAGTTAGGGTCACATTATCCCATTCCTTCACTCTCCTCTCAGTCTCACTTTTGCGAAAGGACACCACAGATACCACCAGCACAACATCAGGTCTCCCTGATAACAAGAGCAACACTAAGTTAATGTGTTTACTGTTTCCTCTCCCAAATTAACACCAAAACACAGTTGCTCTCCCAACAGGCATCCTGACATGCTCTTTCCACCACTGCTTACCAGCCCCAACCATCTGGTCCTCTATGCCCACTGCTGCTATCCAGCTCTCACACCCAAAACTTCCTCAACACTACTCAATCTCAGATATCTTTTGCCTTGCAGTCCAACACCTCTTATGTTTGTTCTTCATCCTGGTTGTTGGCAAAACCCCATGATCTTCATGGGATCACGTCTGTCGCCAGCCTTGACCCACATCACTGTTCCCACTGGCCCTTCAGGTTGTCTCTACCTCTTCTTTGAGTCCCCCTTGATCTTACTCAATTCTCTCCTTATTCCTCACCACTCTCTGTGCTGCCAGACTGCAGGCCTACATTTTATTGGTAAACAGACTGTCCAGGTCTCAGTCTGAGATTTAAAGACACCTTCCACAGATTTCTGAGATGGTCAGCCAGGACTGAGCCACACTCGATCTTCACATGTTTCTGTATGTGCCATATGAGAGATCTAGACCAAAGCCCAAGGTGCTCTCATATATCAAGCCCACTAACACACTTTCTAAAACGGAAGCAGCGGTTTCTCACACACCACACCTCATATTTTGATTCTTCAAAGGGATTAAAGAACTAAGTGCAGACTTGCCTCAGCATGGCAATCCCCTCAGACTGGTGGGGCGAGATTATTTCTGTGGAATGGGGAGAGCCAAGACACCGACACAAAAATAGTAAACTGCAGGTTGGACTGGGAAATCAACCCAAGCACAATGTTCAAGGTAAATTAATCCACTGCTTCTCTATATTGTTCCCACTCATTGAACCATGCTTGGAAAAGCAGCTTTTGAATTGAATGAGATTTATCTGTTTGCACCAGGATTCACTTAAATGACACAGCATGAAAGGTAAATATTTGATACAATTTAACATTCACGCCACAGGCACCGAAATAACAGCCTTTTTGCTCTTAAATTTGATCATCTGTTACCTCCTTTTTCTCCCCTGTTTGTTCTGCTATGAGCTGGTCAAACACTGCCCCATATTCTTCATGGATTTTCTGCATTTCATTAATGTGGCTGGCAACTTTGTTCATTGTTTTTATGGCCACTGGAAGAAAGACACAGAGAGAGGGGAAGAGACAAAAGGTATTTTCAAGCCTCTGAGAGGAAAGAGGAGGAGGAGGTCTCCAGATCAGGGGTTAAACAGGGAAGAACAACGTAGGTTGGCTCCTTACCATCAAGGTGGTAATGTTCTTCACTGTCTACATCAGTGAGAGCAAAGAGCTCCTTGAGAGGGTATTTCAGGATCCGCTGGATGGGTTTGATGAGGTAAGACTCCAGTGTGGAGGAGTGCTGCCGTCGGGGATTCTGGGCATCCAGAAATGCCTTGAAAGCAGTGTCTGTCTTGGCTGGAAGATTAAAATGAAGCACTTGGATAAATCAAAAATCATAACAGCTGCCCTGATAAAGTGACTTTTCCAGCTTTAAATTAACTTATCCAGCAACATTTTGCAGGGAAATGTAAATTTATAAGGTCCACAATATTAGATTTATGCACTTCAGGTTTTGACTTACTGACCCTTTGCCACAGATAAGCTATTTATGATTTAACACCAGGCACCCACCTACCGTACCAATACATGCAGTTTTTAATTTCACTACCCACAGTATTTCTGGCCTTGCAACTATTTTAGAGCAGCATAAATTGTTTAAAGTATCTGTTTCCTTTAAGAGAAGTTTCAGACTGGATATTCATAAGAAGTCACTACTCAGGAGTCTAGTCTGACAGATAACACCTATAATATTGGTGAGTCTCGTTAGTGTTACATCATTAAACCTTAAAATGCAGTACTGAACAACAACAACAAAAATCAAGAGCTAGTAAGGAGGCAGGAAGCAGTAAACTTCATAGAATCACAGACTGTGTTGGGTTGGAAGGGATCTTTGAGGATCATCTGGTCCAACTCACCTGCAGTAATCAGGGACATCTTTAACTAGATCAGGTTGCTCAGAGCCCAATCAAGCCTGACCTTGAATGTCTCCAGGGATGGGATGTCCACCACCCAACTGGGCTACGAAAGAGACTTCATGATTTCAGTACTTCTGATGGTACATCAAACTTTGGGAGCACAGGCAGACTGGACATCTGATCACTATCATCTTTCCTACCTGACTGCTACCGAATTTATAAAAATACCATTTTCTATGTTGTTCCCTCGACTAGGACAGACATTTGTACAGGGAAGGAAGTATGGAGAAGGTGGCATTTTTAGACAGTGGAGGAACAATCCCACACAATTGCTTTTATTAGAGCCATGTCCCCTGTCAAATTTCGGTGCATTTTTGCAGACAGTCACCTGATTTCAATAAAGCAACTTTAGTTTCAAATCCAAAAGCCACCTGCACCTCAGCTGTGGACACCAAATTACACTTGAAATACACTCCCACGATTTGTAAGAGATTTATCACTGGAAAAAAAAATTAAGTTCTGTTTGTGCCATAATTCAAGTGCAACCATTTCTCATTTATAAATACAGTCAGCGACAAAAAAGCAAACCAGAACAACCAGATCTACCTAGTCTATGGCCTTAACATAGAAGTTAAACAAAATGATGCCAAAAGCAAGCATGGATATGGCTAGCAGCAAATCATTTATTCATGTATTCCACAGAGCTGCCAAGCATTCTTTGCAGCACAGTAAATAAGAGTTTACAAGCAGAAATTTTAAAAAGTGTGCACAAAAAATAACAAACAAAACCCACAACTCAAACCACCTAAGAAACAAATGAAACCACAAAATTTCTGACTGTCAGGCATCCAGATGTTCTCTGAAAAATAAGAGCTCCTCCCTTAATGGCACTGCTCCTACAAGTGGAACCATTTGTTTATTTAATGTCTTGGCCAAAAATGAATTTCATGAAGCACTGCTAACTCTAAGAGATTAACACTTGCACAGGGGAAAAAAACATCCCTCCAAGGCAAGGAGGCATTTACAAGCCAGACCACAGTTCATTTATCTCCATCTCAGCAAGCCAGCCTCTACTAGCAATTCACACGTGGAAACTTCTCAGGCAAACTGGAACAAAGGTGAGAAGAGGAAAAGAGGGGAGAGAGAGCACGGTGAAGTTAAAATATTTAGACAGCTTCCATAAAACATTCTCCTAGGCTGATCCTTTCCTAATGGCTGTCATCATTCAATCACACTGGCTGGAGCTCCAGTGGGATTGCCACTAGCAAGGATTCACGGCACAAACTCTGGGAGGATCCAGAGGTCATTACAAGCATCACCACTCCCGGTTCCAAACTACACAGTGACCCATTAGCATGCACCACATTGCTCATTTGTGAAATCCTTCCACCACCCACATCATTGAAATGAAACTGAACATGTCAGAGAATAAATTAAGTGTAGGGGGGGGAAACTACATGCAAGATTAACAATTTCTTGTAGTGAGCTACTTTGGTATCACTACACCAATGGTGGTCCAAAAACACCCATGGCACAGAACTCTCTGCAAGCCTCTCAGGCCAGATGGACTGACTTCACTATTGCAAAGGCTGCTGGAGAGCAACCAGGCTTATATGTGCCCCCATTCCTCCACCACAACTTGTCCTGCATGGTTTAGGGTGCAGTGGCCACCTCTCATGGTTCACAAGGACAACCTGCACCAGCCCAAACCAAAATGTTGCTACAACATCTCTCTCTCTGCATACTCAGGTCTGTTTGTCCAGCACACAGCTCTTACCTTTCACCAGTACTTTGGGGACTTTTGTGTGGCTGGCGCAGAAGGCACTGTACAGCTTGAACCGGTCAGCGTAGTAAAGAAAGGATCCTCCCAAGGAAAACAACACTTTCTAGGATTTAAAAAAACCAAGGTATTAGGGAAAAAAGCACATGAAGCCAGTTAGTTATTTTCCCTTCTGCTAGGTCACTTGAAGTTTCCATTTAGCTTTTAGATGACAGCACACTGCATTTTTAGAGTGTTTTCACACGATCCAGCAAGAAACAGGCCCAGTCTCGGTGCCTGGATTCAGCCTATGTGATTAACACCACTAGCCAAGTTTCAGTTAGGATAATCTGGAAACATAACTAGGTTCACAGCTCCAGAACTGCATTTAAATGCCTGAGCTTAAAACCGTATTGATCCAAGTAATGACCAGAGGCCACAGAAAGGACTGGACGTATCTGACTTTGTAATGGATCAAGACACTAAAGAGCTGTGAGCGAGACTACTGTCCCTCTGCAGAAACACATCAAGGTCTTCGCTCCCTTGAAAACGAGCTTGTGTTAAGGGCCAACACAATCTTTTCCTAAGATGTCTATGCTACTGTCAAGCTTTTGCTCTGCTACCCACTTAGGAACAAGACAACATGGGGTGGCGGGGGTGAGACAACACATAGGCAGCTTGCCTACAGGCAGCAGAGGGAAGTAAACTGCAGAACTGAAACCATGAAACCCTGATGTCCCATTTTTCACGCTGCTTGCAGACTCTTCCCATAAGACAGAACTGAAAATGAAGTTGATTATGTACTTTTTATGGAAAGAGGTGGAAGCAACAGCACTCAGAAGACAGAATTATCTCCATAAGGAGGCTTCTTCCTCTCCTCTCAAAGCTCAGAGCACACAGTGGTCACTGAGGCTTCCTCCACTAAAAAAAGTATCTCCGTGCTCTGCATTAAGGGTGCCTTTCCTACAAAACAAAATCTGTGTTCTAGTTACACGAGGGCAGTGTCCATGATTGCTGCTTATTTTAAACAAGCACCTGATGGCAAAGTCACACATGCATGAAAAGACAAGTTCTTTCAGCAGTTCTTCCAGGGCTCTGTGTTAGCTGAAGAGCAATCCCCGTAGAACTTTTATTATTCATCAAGACATCCTATCCTCCACCAAGGTGAGTGCTCAAAGCAAGAGTAAAATTCCCAAAAGACTAAACATTGTGTTAGCTACTTCTAGTACATGACTGCATTAGAAATAACACAGAAGTTTCTCTTTCCACATTTTCCTATTTTTTTAAACGAAGTTTCTATATCTTTAGTTTACATTTCTACCTTTGATGCACATCTGCTGATAGTTGGAAGTATTTGCCATATAGATCCACTATGCATCAAAAGCCCAGATACAGAATTCAGTTTACAGTTCTAATCTCTAGCCCTAGTGGGGTTCTGAAGTACTATATTAGACTTGTCAGAACAAAGGTTTTATGTAACTTTCCATTTCTAGCTTATCCTGACAGCCTGAGACAAGGAATCTGGCAGAAGGGCAAGAATAGCATCTAAAAGCACATGGTGTTACAGATTTCCAGTGCTGTATATGGCTAAATGCAGCATAAACCACAATTGTAGAAGGATGTTTTTCAAACAGTTCCAGTGCTAGCTAACAATTAATATCAAGCTTAAGTAGATGTTGGATTTTACACAAACATTGACAGCAGTCAGATACTAAGATAAGGAGCATTAAAGCACTACTCACAGTGTAACCAATGAGATTACCTTAAATTGCTCAACTTTTTCAAGCTTTTCCAGGTCTGGAACCAGCCTTACTCCATCTTCAAGAGTTTTCAAGAACTCTACCTGGAATGCTACCATTTCAGTCAGATTTCCAAAGAGAACATCCAGCTAAGAAAAGAAAAGAAAAAAAAGCAAGCTGTTGAAAATACCACTTTGCACTGAATCACGTTTTCTACAACTTTAGCAATTCTCAATTCCAATTTAATTCCAAATTCGGCAATTCCAATTGTACAATGTGTGTGTGATGTCAGGGGGAAAAACCTACAACCTATACATTATTAAGAAGTAGCTTTATAGTCAACTCAATCCATTATTTAAAAAAAATGGAATTCAAAATTTCTCCATAGCCCTTGCTCAGAAAAGCGAGTCAAGCTGGGGTGTAGGAGGGAGCAGAACTATCAAGGAAAATGATAAGCAACAGTTAACATACCTCATCTGGTGTGAGGAACGTTTCCTTTTGTAGAGGCTTCAGGTATCTCTCCATTAGACAATTTAAGTCCTAAAAATCCAGAAAGAGATTCCCATGTTGGTTCCTCAAACTGCCTATGAATTTGTCCCTAGTCTATGAATTTTTCCCTTTCACACATAAGACAAAATAGTTTGATTTCACGTAACTTAAAATAGTAAAAGGAAACATTTACAAAGTTTTGCTTACAAAATCAATACCAGATCTCATTGAGCAGTGTTCTTTTGCAAAGCAGCTAAGTAATTTCTAAATGACAGCATAAGAATTGGGAAAGCCTACTTATTTCAGAGGTTTAAGCCACTCTTCTAGGGACAGATTGTAGAACTGAATGTAAATTAACTAAAAGATACACACAGGAAACAGAATTTGAAGTATTAGAGAATAAACTAACAAACTTTTCCAGAGGGAGGAGAAATATTACTAGACTGAAGCAATACATTGAGACGCCTTACTTTGACATAGGTGCGCTCTGTCTCAAGAAGTTCACAGATAACCTTTCGCAGCTTATCTGCGTCTGTGAGTTGTCTCATGGTGGCCAGCTGGGGTCCGGTGAATTCCTGAGGATGAGCACTTGAGTCAGAAGGGTTCATTTCATGCAGACTGCGGCAGAAAGCAGCGACCTGCTCTGTACTCTTTAAAAAGAAAGGAGAGGAAAGACCAGCAGTAATATTTTAAGCATGAGCTATAGGAACGATGGAGCTGAGAAGCCTTTGCAGTTAAGCGTTGCAGGTTGGGGGCTTTTTAACAGGCATCAAAGTCTAGAAGTGTACACATAATTTCATACATCTGTCTTTCCTATCTCTCAGAGACTGGGGATAAGGGATAAGGGTGGAGGGGGGAAGTTACACAATTCAAGTTAACTGAAGTGCTGTCCAGTAACATTCCTGGTTTCAGATAAGCATGGACTTTATTAAAATAGGTTCATCCAGCACTTAGGATTGAAAAACAAACAAATAAAAAGGCACAAGAATTGGAACCAAAAATGACTGTGCAAACAAAACGCACACCCCAGTCCTTTGCCAGTTCCCTAATCTAGTTTGCAACAGTCCTGTGCATAGCAGTGTCAACACAGCCAAGGAGACAAGCGGAGACAGAAACAGTTTAAGCTGTTTTTCCGGGGAAGCAGAGCCATCTGCGGAACCAAAGCCTCTCGGGCTTCAAACGCAAGCTCTTTGGGAAATTAACGGTAAATCTTTCTATGTCTGGAAACATGCCTTGCAGGGTGAATTTCTTCCCCATAAGTCAGGTTTTTCAGAGCTGCTACATCTCGCTGGTTTCTTTAATGTTTAATCAGCTGTCTCCATATAAAGACAGTTTTATCCTCTCTTCACCTCCTCATGTTAGATCATATTCTCACATCTTTTGTTACACTGAAAAGTTTGGGGAAGGTGTAGTCTCTGGTATCAGTAACAACAGCCCCAGGCTTCTACGGTTGCCAATGCAGCAGTGAGCCCTGTCCTCATCTCTCCTGGAGACCTGGAGGGGGCATGTGAGGGAAAAGAACTGCTGTGCTTGATCACACCTCTCTAACCTCCTGTGTTTAATCCTGCCACGGTATCTTAATCCAGATTTAGTGACTTCCCAGCACTGCCTCTATAGCTCTCCAGTCAAACAACTGACCCAAAATTAGCCTGTTCATCAGAGAATAGACAAAGAGAGGAGAGGAGGTAAAAAAAAAATAAAAAAGAGGGGAAAAAACCCCATATCACCACATTGCATGTTGGAAACAGAGCCCTGTTCCCTCGAAGATAACTCCACTCCCACCAGCCTATAGCAACTATATAATTCAGAGCCCTCACTCCCCCATACCTTTGTGATCACCTAGTGCTGAAAAGTGCTGCATTTTTAAGCTGCGCACTCTGCTCCCACACTGCTATGTTCCCCTCTCAGTGCACTTACAGTGCTACACTGCCATGCCCAAGAGGAGCATTAACCGTGCTAGGGACAAGTAAGGGTTTTCTTTCCATAATACAGTTGCTTTCCCTAAAGGTATCTTATGGCTGTAAATGCTCACCTGAGTGTACGACTGCAAGGCATATTAGTAAAGATGCTTGTTATGCAAATGGTAATTTTCTTCAAGACGCAAGTGTAAGCAAGGAACTAATTGCAACTGACTGTCTATGCAAAAATGCCTCTTGGACAAAGTTTATTACAGGAAAAATACTCATCTTCAGAATCTGAGGTTTAACCCAGAGGAGGAAGAAAGGAAAATGCTGGAATCTGTTGAGGAAAGGTGGAAGTAGTGAGTTGAACCATTTCATTTCCAACTAACTCAGGTTCTGGTAATGGCACATGTCACAGAGTTTGATTTATTAGTCAGAGCAATTCCTTTTATTTCTCAGCAGGGTTCCACCTATACATGTTGTACTCTTCAGTATATCCAAAGCATACCCAAACTTCTAGGTTTATTTTGCATGAGATTTCAACCCCAAATCCACAAAGTGCGGTACGTGAAAGCCTGGCTTCAGCACAGGCATAAAAAACCCTGCCCAAGTTACCTGCTCTGTTGGAAACAGACAAAGAACTGAGAGTGAACAGATGTTAATTTGAACCTGCAGAGACCCAGAATAGGTTTGTTTTCCTCAGAAAATTTGTTAGGGTTATTTTGTGAAAGAATATTTGAGGAAGGTGTACTCAGTGACATTTTGTTGTAAAAGCCAAATGTACAATTAAAAACAGTTATAATGTATTAAACAAGCATGGAATCAAACTCCAAAAGTCAACCAAGTGTTTGAAGCAGTTCATTATTGATACCCCGCAGACAGTGCACCATCCTGTGCGTGTACTTGCAATAAGTTGCAGGCAAAGATGGGTCACCCAGAAAAGAGAGCACTAAAATCCATTTACACCATGAAATACCAGCTAAACACTAACGAGTAGTTGAAAATTGGATAACTGTCATACAGGCACGCAGTCTGCTTCAGAAGGAACAGTTACACCCATATGCCAAAAAGGAAGTGTAGAGGACTTTTAAAAGCCTTAACAAACACTTAACAAACCGCTTGCTGGCTTCAGCCATGCCCGGCTCCAGCCAGCAGCAACCGAGCTCTGCCTTGCCACTGCCCTGCCTCACATCTTTTTATGCATTTCCAACTACCATTCACCCTATACTCTTTGGACAGACAAGAAGTATCAAGCACAATAATGTCCACAAAGCTGTTTTCTCGCTAGTTCATTGAGCAAACTGTCTTGTTTTGTTCCTGAATGTAGTCCTTTCTACCTTATATTACTTTTTAAAAAATTGTAGACAGAAAGCAGACGCACATTGCACCTAGGGCAGTTCAGAACACAGCTATTTCACTGAAAACTCTTGAACAGTATTAACAAAAGCCTCTGTCCCCATTTTCCTAGAGAAAGTGGATAGAGTAGAGAAGGTCTGGAATAGAAACAGATCCCTTTATATCCCAGTACCAGCTCTGTTTGTCAGCTGCAACAGTGATAGCACTGAACCAGAATTTCTCTAGAAGAATACAGCATCACACTTCAGGCACAATTCTGCAACCTTGAAATAAGATGAAGGGCTGGCACTACTGGGCTGTAAAGCAGAGTTTACTTTGCAAGTACATTAACCCCTCTTCTGCAGGTGGCTCAGCAGAGGAGCTAAGCTCACATCCTTTCCATGCAGAAGGAGCAAGTCCTTAAACTCACCAAGCATGTTGACGCTGCCCACAGCAGGGAGGTTTGCCTGCCTGCCTTGTAGTTGTGTGAGCGCAGTGCCATTTCCCCTGGCGCTCACCATATAAAGACATACAGGTGCCTGGGCATCAGGTAGACTGCCCCCTCGAACGGCACACAGCACCCCTGTTCCACCATGAAGAGCAAACTCTAAGCAGTAGTGATCTCCCAAACAAAACTCAGGCAAATTGCATCCTTTCACACATTGCCAGGGCTGCTAATGACATTGCACAATAACAAAAAGTCTCTGCAGGGTACGTACGCTACAGCTTAGCCTCGAATTTATAACCTGGAAATTAAAACAGCATGAAAATTCATTTAACTGCTAATTACTTAGACTAGTCGCGTTGCACAGTAGATCTGCTCACCAAATACAGCATACGGTACAGAGAGTCGCCGGCTCCCCCAGTGCTTTCACTCTTGAGTTTACGGTTACCTCTCCAAAGAGCCGACATTGCTGGGAAGACAGTATCGCCAGAGCTGTCACCCAGCAAGGAGGAAAATCCCAGTGCTCAACATATTCAGCTGATCCGAAAGGCTTTCCCACTCCAGATACTGTGCGCTGCTTACTTGGCGCACAGCACAGAAGACGGCTGCATTTTAACAAGGAAGGGCAATGACTGTATTTCTGTAAGCAAAGCCTTTCCGCATGTGTCATTTGCCGCTGGCCTCCTCTGCTCACCACATCAGCTGGAATTAAGAGCTGGCTACCCAGGCAAAGCTGCGAACCCAGCGCTGCTTTTCACAGACTCATTAAGAGGGAAACTTCAGCAGAGAGGCTGAAATGCAGCAAAGCGGAGGTGAAGGCAGCCAGGGAATATAAATGTCTGTTGCCTGTGGCTGAGCATGAGCCGATTGGCTACAAACGGCACTGCCGAAGAATATTAAACATCTGAAGGGACAGAGGCACGGAATTAAAAGAACTTTAAAAAGCCAGTTACGCTACTGGAAAACCTACCCCTCAAATCCCTGTTTTAATCCTTTCACATCTATTGCAACACATTGAAGGTTTTGAGACTTAATTCTGGTCTTGAATAATGCTGCAGAGAGAAGACGACCTATTTTCTCTGAAAAAATACCTCTAAACAGTATTAAGCATGTACACACACAGCCCATTACAGCATGCTCCCCTAAGTACAAATGCTGCAAAGGTAATTAGCTTTCATTTCAAGAGGCAGATGTCTTTAATTGAAACAGGGAGAAATGAGTGTCCTGCAGTATTTTAACTGATGACAGCTTTTAAAACACATCCCCAGTCGAACTCAAAGGACCATTACAGGAAAAAACATGCACAACAATCGATCTTAAGATGCAACACAACACCTATGTTAGCCTTTGGTAACCTGCAACACTAAGCACTCACACATATAATCAGTTTTCAGTTTACCTCGTTCGAACCTCAATTTATACTACAATATTATTCCACAAGGCCAAAACACTCGGGTCACCACAGAGGCAAGTAACCATTTACAAAATTACTCTGGCTTGAAATGCTCCTGATACTCTGTTGAACTGGGCATCATTTACATTTCACAAACAGCCTGAAAGCTGAATTCACGTGCTAGATGAACACAAGCCTGAAGAGGTGGCAGAGAGGGGGCTTTCCTTTCCCCCACTCTTCTCCCTCCCAGCTCCCTGCTCCTCTTGGCTCCCACACAAAATGGGGAGAGAAAGGAAAGTCAGGAGCCCACCTCAGAGCAGAAGCAACTGAGAGCACAGCTCAGGCCACTGTCAGTTTGCATGGCTTAACAGTGCACCCAGAAAAGTGTATCTGCTTCCTGCTGTTTACACAGATTTCAACCCAAGAGATACCGTATGTAAGAGGGCTGGTTGACGCAGGTAGTGCATCATGAAATTGGATAGGGAGCGAGTCCAGAGAACAACAGCTATCCCACACCACAGCACTGCCAACGCCTCAACCCACCTTGGATTCTAGTATAGAAACACATAGGCTTCTAGTATTTTATCAGATCAGTTCTACAGACACGGCATTTCTGCTTATTATTATAATGATTCCTTGGACAATAGTGATGGAGCAGTAAACTCCACATTATCTGGTCTTCAGGATATACAGAAGGTAAGATTTTCAGAAAAGGGAGGAACCCTCAGAGCTACTCGTGTACCTTCCAAATACTTCACCATCACCAACAGCTTGCAGGCTTTTGCAGATTAAGCAACAAATGCACCAGCACTAAGGAAACACACACCCACGGCCACACATGCTGGGCTGGGTGACAGCTGGGAGGAGGAGGAGGAGAAGGGAAGACACATTTAAGCACCTCCCGTGTTATACGTCCACCCATCACCTATATGAGAAAGGTACAGGTAAGTCAGAAGGGACCCAAACCCAGATTTTGGCAGGATTTGACACAGCTTACCTTCATAAAAAGCCTGCCCAGCCCGTGCTACAAGAGCGGATGAAGGAGAGCTGCGGCGCTGTGTTCCTCTCCTTTTCCCATGAATTATTAACTGTCCCCTAGGACTGCTTTGCTGGCTGGAGAGCTAGCAGGTTTCCTCAGAGGAGCTGGGAGCTCTCCTCCTCTGCAGTGCTTTGCAGGCATCAGCAGACTGCCAGCACCACGGCACAGAGAGGTGGTGTTTGCAGGATTAAGTCCTGCCTCAGGATCATGCTATCGCAAGGCAAAAGACAACCCAAACGCTATTTTCGGCTCTTCAGCTGCTAATGCTGCATCTGTGCTGAAAGAAGGGGAACTCTGCATTTAGCTGGGAGGCTCCAGCATAGTTAAACTGGATTTCCACTGCTGCCCAGTGGTGAACGGATCAGAGCACTCCTGCAAGAAGAGCAGAAAATAAAGAAAGTCTCCCCAGACGTCCACCATCCAAGGAAACTGGAAGCGGTGGCAGTAATGGTGATACAGGGGAACATGCCCCTCCTTGTGGTACGAGGGCAGAGTGTTTCACTTCCCACGTACAAAAATAACCTGTGTAAAACTGCTGAGGACACCAGCTAATCTTCTGCGCCATAATCCTTGGAGCATGGAAAGGTGTGGCAGTGCACGGACAGGAAAATGCCTTTGCTTTTTTCCCAATGTACCAGCCCAGAGGCGACTTTTGATGGAAAAACATGCATTGCAGCCTCCTTACTCCCCACGCAGACTGGCTTTCCCAAGCACTCCGAAGAGCACAGGAATTAGCAAAGCCTTCTGGCTGATTGAGCTTTTCTTAGGTTAAGGTTTTCTTTTCCATGGTCACTGTATTTAAAAATTAGCATGTGATTAGCAGGCAGTGACATCCTCCCCTCTGCCACATACTGGAATTCTTTATAGGCATTGCAAAGTAATTTGAGGATTTCTGTTGCTTTCGTTGGAGAAGAACCACAAAAAAGCCCACTTAGTACACAGCTCTTCAATGTGAACAGGGACAGCGGCATTCACGAGTTTGCCAGACACAGCACATTGTATATACTATATGTACACGAGTGCTGCTTTTTTATGGAAGACCATTTCAAGGAGTTCATTCCATAATAAACAGAATGTGAAGTAAAATGCCCCACTCCCCTCTATATCACACAAACAAGACAAGACATATTTCTGAATTTTAAAAGAACACACGTACTAATGTCAACATTTCATTTACAGAAAGACAGATTTTCCTCTCATTGGAAACCGAGGCTTTTTAGAGTTACGAGTTACTCTTCCAATATACGAATATTAAGCATTAGAGCTCCTAATGCACATTTCTCAGTTTAACTCAATCTGCTGAGCCACAGGGCTAATCATGTAATCCTTACGCCTTGCTTCTGGCAATTACAGCTCTAAAAATCCAGGAGGCAAAATGCAAAATGAAACCCCACAGCCTGTCACACAGCTCAGAAATAGAAAGCTACGGAAAACATAGCGAGAACATTTATTCCCCAAGCAGCTACGTGTTATGCTCAGTGCTCTTCCACAGCCTCAGTGTTTAACAGAAGAGACTCTTTCCAGAGCATATGAAAATCCCACATATTTACAGTTAAAAATCCCAAAGTATCAACAAACACTTACAGTTATTGAAGAAGAAATTCTTTGTACTTACAAGAAAAAGTTCCGTAATAAAACCTGGAAACAAACTGAAACTCTGCATGCAAGCTCTGCAGCTATTTCATGCATAGGAATGCTTTCTCTTATCTGACTTCCACTGCCTGGCTATCAAAGACAAAACTACAGGCTAGTGTGACATAGGAGATCAGGAAGCAAGAGGCCAGGGTCTTTTCCTTCCTTTCACTACAATGACGAGTAGAATAGCACGGGGAGCTGCTCAGAGTTCACTGTAACACATTAAAACAAGAGCTGAGAAAAAACACACCTGTATGTAAGTGCAAACTGAGTGAGATCTGATTCTCATTAGATCATTAATTCTGTAGAAAAATAGCTGTAAGATCTCACCATCACCTATCCAACAAATACTTAAAAGTGATCAGCTTCTTCAAAATAATCTCACTTGATTCTGCCAGAAAAGCCACTAATCATCACACCTAATGTTGTGTAAAGCTCCCCAGCACCAGAGCCGGCACAAACTACCAACCACTGTGAAACGCATCCCTTAATAGATGGCAATTAGCAATCCATTTGCACAACCTCTTAGTTATAATTGGAGAGTTTTGCTTCAATTTAAGGTAGATTGGCTATAATTAGTTTGCATCTAAAAACTAGCGTGTGTGCTATGCTATTGGTTTAAGGAAATACTCTTTTAATTTACATTCCTCCTATGTCTAGAAACCAAGAAAGAAGAGGAAATTGTAATAATCCACCTGATCTTTTGCTGACTTGCTCTGTTGGAGGGGGTGATAAAACGATCCCATTTAAAAACTACGTGGGAATATTATCACAAGATGCTGAAGATGTGAACCAGCCTAGGAAAAAGGGCACAAGTCTTGCTTAAGAGGTAGCAATGTGCCATAATCAAAGCTGTAATTTGTTGTGTTCAGTATCATCCATAAATACCTTAGAAGTAAGACTAACATTTTCCCAGGGAAGATGCTCTAATGGCGTGCAGCTGTGAAGTCAGCACATCAGCTGTGACCGCACTGCGCTTTCGCTCCTTGGCATGTGAAAATGAAACTCTCTCACCTTGCTCATCTTGTCAGCCTCATCAGATGACTCCAAGTCTTGCGCTTCTGTCTCCTCTGGAGCTGTCTCCACGGAGCTGTCCGGGTCGCCGCAAAGCGAGTGCCCTGCTGAAATTGAGATGCGTGTGAAAACCCAACCAAAAATTTCCAAAAATTCCAAAATTTCCAAAAATTCAAAAAGCTGGGTGCAACAGACAGAGCTCCCATGGAGGGCCAGGCCTCAGCCTGCACACAAGTTCATGCCAACAAGATGTTATGCCAGAGGCAACCAATGACCTCAAAGGACTACCTCGATTTACAGCAAGGGACAGGTTTAACTACAGGTGTAAAAATAAGCAGGTTATGGCCAGATACATTATTTAGT